TAAAGCACAACGTAGCAATAAAAGATGCGAAAAGGAACTGAGTTCGGATTTGAACCCTCAACCTCGCTGTCAAAGATCCGAATCTTTACCTCTGCGCCAGTTCGTCTTAATTAATGGAAGATCAAAAATATTTAAGCCAAAGTAATCGTCAGATACACATTCAGATAAATTGTCTCAGTGAGCTAGGCTCACCCCATTACCTGAACTCGCTTGCGCTTGTTCAGAGTAACAGCCATGGTGTTTCTTAACTTGAGGAAAGCACTCATAGGAGACGTCGTAAACTGCCCGTGGTCTTTTTGTGAACTTTTCACCCCAGGGTGATAGGTTGGCAGACGACGGATTAACTCATTGCTAATCTGAGGACATTTTTCAAGAAAATTCTTTGAAATTTTGATTACATAATTTGGAATAGGTTCCACGTCTAGATCTCTATGGATGATCTTACGACGAACGAACCATGGTGCGTCAGCAATCATAGCCAGGTGTTTATTCTGAAAAACCTGAAGTCTCTTTATATTTGTGAGTGAGGTAGAAGCCCAGATTGGACTACCATAAACCAGGATAGGTCTAATGATAGACTTGTAGAGCAGAAGCTTGTGTTTGATCGCAAGCCTACTCTTTCGAGAAATTAGGCAATTGAGCTTAATGCTCGCACCAGTTGCTTTAGCAACTGTGTTCTTAATATGGAATAGAAAGATAATTTTGGGTCTAAAAACAACCCCAGGTATCTATATTCAATTACCCAGGGGACGGGCTGGCCAAATAGAGTGATACTCCCTAGCGGTGAAAATGTGATCTTCCGAGTAAATAGCATACAGGCCGATTTCGTGGCATTTACTTTAATTTTCCAGGTGGTTAACCATTTTTCTAAATTATATACTGAATATTGCAAGTCTTTGACAGCAAGCTGAGGTGATTTGTTTTGTGTGGCTATCGCCGTATCATCAGCGTAGTTTTTTTGAGAGGTTTGGCAGTCTCTCGGTATGTCGTTGATGTAAATATTGAATTGCCTTCTGAAAGCAAATTGTTCAGGAATAATTAAATTGTGAAGATCGCAATGCTGATTCAGGCGTTTAAGTAATGCAGATTCGAATATTTTGCTCAAGCTACTGAGTAGCGAGATAGGACGGTAATTTTGAGGGTAAGCCAAATTAGCATTTGGCTTAGGAATGGGGCATACTACGGCAGTCTTCCAGCAAGCTGGGAAATGACAGATCCTAAGTAGAAAGTTAAAAAGAATGGTAATATACAGAATGAATTTAATAGGAGTGGACTTTAGCATACGATTGTTAATAAGATCCAGACCAGGAGTTTTATTGTTCTTGATATTCCTGATAATATCACAGACTTCTTTTGGAGAAATTAAGTCTAAACTATTAGCATGTGAATTTTGTAAGAAGTCTGTGACTGTAAAGTTGGCGTGTTCGAAGAAATTTTTATCTTCAACATCGTGATTGAGTTCAAATTGAGATTTGAGACTGTCAGCAAGCAGTTCCGCTTTATCTTCTGGGGAATAAACTGCTCGGCCGTTGGCACCCTGCAAGGGCGGAATGTTATGATATTGTCTGCGTAGGAGGGAACATTTCTTCCAAAGTGATGTTGACTCAGGCGTCAGGGCCTCTATGTCGTTTTGCCAGCGTTGCTGTGTAAAGACCGTGATGGCTTCTCTAATTTCTATTAGTGATCTATAGTAATGCTGTAGGAACTCAGGATCTCTGGTCCTTTGCCACCTACGACGATAATAATTTCTGAGTTTGATAGAGTCCTTGATATTTTGCGGAAATCTAACCTGTGGGGATTTGAATTTTGGGGTAGAACTTTCCTGCAGACATGTGACATAGATATTGTTAAGTTCGTTTATTCGTGATTCAGCATCAGATGGAGTTCTTAAAATAAAGCTTGGTAATTTTTGCTATCCATCACATGCCTGAAGTTCTCCCAGTTGGTGATTAATTGGTTAGGAACTATCAGTGATTCTGGGCTGGTGTCCAAGGTTAAGATAACGGGGAGGTGATCAAAATCTAAATCTGTAAGCACCTCGATGTCAAAGGGGATAAATTTAAAGAAAGCAAGATCGAGTACATTACCTCGATGATTATTATTTCTAATGTCAATTCTAGTAACTTTAAGGGGGGGGAACAACTTTCACGCCCCTTTGACTTTGGAGGAAATGATTTAGGGTAAACCCATATCTGTTTGAATGTCCAAAGTTTCAAGAGGAGTGAAGAGCGTTAAAATCGCCAGAGAGAATCACATTGTTTCCAATTTTTAGAAGTTTGTTAAAGTCCTCCACCGGGAAACCACCTGGAAGGTTAGGCTTAACATATGCAGATATAATTTTTATTGGAGGATAATTACAATTTTTAATTTCTATAATGGTAGCATCGATAAAATCTAGATTAGGAGGAGGAAGGCTATGGTGATGAATACTATTTTTGATGTATATGCCTGTTCCGCCACTTACTCGGGTAGGATTTTGGTTGGGTCTATCAGTACGATAGAACCAGTAGTTAGCGATCAAAGGGTTATAACCAGGAGACAATTTTGTTTCCTGAACCAACAACATTCTGCTCTGCTAGGAACTCCCTAACCTCGTGAGTTTTGGAATCTAACGAATTAGCGTTCCAGAAACCAATTGAAAGAGACTCAGACCCAAAGAAAATTAAGCCGTGAGGAGCTCACTTTGGGAAAGGACATTAGTATACGCCTCAAAGAGGTGATACGTCATGTCGAATCTGTTAGATGAACTCCTCATCTTGTCTTTTGCTAGCCCAAATGCTCGCAATATAATTTGACTGTGTGTTGGGTACTGGTTAGTCAGATCCATTAAACACTGAAAAATCTCCGTTAACGAACACTCCGAAGAGGTCGAAACGGGTGCGGAGCTATTTGTGGTAGCAGCAGGCAACGGCTCCCTAACCATGATTGGCTGAATAGCGGGACCTATGGACTTAGCCTCATTCCCCTGGCGGAGAATTTCGGAAAAAGCCACAGTAGGCTGGACGTTACGACTAGTAAAGGCCGTTGGCTGCGTCCTGGTAGAAACCTGTGGATAGGTTTGGAAGAGGTGGGTTTTTTTATATTTTTTTTATTGTTAACTTGGTTTTTAACACCGGGTTTTTGTCCGGGCTTGGGCATACGGGGGCATCCGCGCCAGTTCGCGGCGTGAACTCCTCCACAATTTGCACATTTAAGTGGCTGGTCTAATTGTAATTTACACTCTTGAGCCCTATGGGGGCCAGCACACTTAACACAACGTGTTGGAAGACGGCATACTTCCGACGAGTGGAAGTAGCCCTGACAATTCCAACAAACAGATGGGCCCAGTTGCCCTCTGTAGCTCTCGACACTAACTCTCAGGCCGAGGAGAGTTGAGAGGCTGTATATCTCCTCTGTTTTCGAGGATGGAGATAACTGAACATACAATAAGAGCATAGGTTCCCTGGTTCGGAATTTGGACATCCGAGCAATCTTAATAAGGGGGAATTCGAGAGCTCGGAGTTCGGCCTCAATATCATCAACGGGAGTGTCACCAGGGAGACCTCGGATCACGACTTTAATTGGTTTGTCCTTTTGCAGCATCAAAGACTTGAAAGGCGTCCCGTCGCTTTCAAGAATTTGGGCCAGTTTCCTGTATTTAGTCTCACTGTCGACTGTGATCTTTAAAAATTGACCGGACAGTTTAGCCTGAATACTAGGCAACTGAACGCGTAGTTGGTTTAGGGTGTTCCACCATTTGCCCTTAGCGGACATAAAGAATGGTGGGATCCTATTAACCCTCTTAAGTTGTGGAGGAGCCACTGTTTGGTCGGCAGCCAACGCTTTGTTAGGGGTGTTAGTATGGGGAGCTAATGATAAAGCAGCCATAGTTACCCGTTTTTTTACCTTTTTTGAGGTGACGGTTTGGAAACCTTCGTCATCTACGTCTGGAGAAGAAGGGGGTCTTCCTCTTTGGAGTTGATATGGAATTTGATTGTTGAGGCAAGGCTGGGGCGGGAGTAGAAGTGACAGTCTGTACAGCTTCAGCCGCAATTTGGTCTTGCAGTTCCTTAGCCTTTTTGATTTCTGCTAGCTCCTTCTTTGTCGAGAGGTGAGAGGCTGGCACGCCGGTGTAGGTGCAGATGGCCCGAATTCTTCGGGAGCACTCTTCAATAGTGAGGGAGGCTTTCTCCCACGTTGGTGAACGTATGTTGTTCGCGGCGCTCTGATGCTTTTGCACTTTTGTCATCAGTGCCGCTGCTTCCTTAAGTAGCACCTCAAAATACAAGAGATGCCCGGGTGACGGGCCACTGAGGCGGTGAGGCGCCGGGTGGTCAAACAGAAAATCCGAGTTGCTGAGCTGTTCAGCAGTGACAGTCATGGTGGCGATTGGTTGTTTTTCCGGAAGGCCCTGCTCATGCAAGGGCGGACTCACTGGGGATGTTAATTCATCGGCCGGCGGGCCGGAAGAAGATTGTCTCATGTTGAAAATTTTTAATTTAAAAAAAATTAAAAATAAAGATGTGTAAAATGATAAATTAGGATGCAACTATCAAAACAAAACTCTTCCTCAGCTTGAGGCACAAAACCGTTCGCAAATCAGGGAAAATCAGAAGACGTCGGGAGCGAGTGTAGAACACGTCTGCTCTGTGTCAAATCTCCAAAATAATCCTCAGTGTCGTTAACCGGAAACTCCGTAATTTTATCGTAACAGCGATCATTATCTTTCTGTTGTTGTTGTTGTTGTTTCTTATCCCACTTGGCTGGCCAAGCCCACGAGCCCATACGTACTCATGATTGAAGGGGAAGGAAGCAGCTTCTGTTGTGACGGAGCACCCGTAGGTAGAAGCCTGACTTTTGCTCCGTGACGCTCTTACAGTCATAGGAGACCGGGACCTACGGCTTAAAGTGGATTCCGAACCACTACAAACATCCATGGCACCGCCGGGATTCGAACCCGAAACCTGTGGCACCGAGCGCCAGAGCGCTAGACACTCGGCCATTCAGGTCCCAAATTTGCCAACGGCACGCGGTGTTCCCAGGTGGTCACCCACCCAAGTACTGACCGCGCCCAATGATGCTTGACTTCGGTGATCTAACGAGAACCGGTATATTCAGCATATTATCTTTCTGTAAATGATATATTTATGTGAGTTAGCAAAACATAATTCCACATAGTAATTTGGCGGTAAAACTATTAAATTTGGCGTAAAAGCAATTTAGAAATAAAGTTTTGGTTAAAGTGGCAACATGTGACGTAAAAAGAAAACATTAAAATTTCGCCATAATAATGGTAAAATATTGGCGATAAAGCGATATAAATTGCCGTAAAGATAATTTAGGCACAATTTCTTTGTCATAGAAGCGATAGCATTTGGCGTAAAAGAATTCAAGGAATAAAATATTTTTTTACTGATAAAAATTTAGCAATAAAGCATTAACTTTTGGATTAAAAGCAATTTAAATAACAAATTTGGCTTAGTGAAAAAAAAATTTTATTCCGTAAATTCTTTTACGCCAAAATTTATCGTAAATTTTTTTTTCTAAGCTAAGTTTTATTTTTAAATTACTTTTACGCCAAGAAGGATTACTTTTTCGCCAAATTTGGGTTAAAATCTAGAATCCCTGAGGAAGTCGTCAGTCTTGCAACCCTGAATAAAACATTATTAGTGATAAAAATTTGGCGATAAAGCATTAACTTTTGGCGTGAAAGCAAAAAACAATTCGCTTAATGAAAAAATTTGACGATAAAGCGATAAATGTTAGCAATAAAGCATTAATTTTCGGCTTAAAAGCACATATAACAAAATTCGCTTAGTGAAAAAGTTTGGAGTTAAAAAATTAACTTTTGCTGGAAAAGCACTTCAAATAACCAAACTTGCTTTGTGAAAAAGTTTGGCTGTAAATGTTGACTATAAAGCATTTCAAAGATTAAAATTTTGGCAGGATAGTGATAATATTTAGCATTAAAGCGATAAACTTTGGCTTCAAAGCCTTTTCACGAACAAACTTTGACGTAATAGCTATTTGGTTACTAATGCTGGCGTAATAGCACTGTTTGGCTATAAATTTTGACGAAATAGCATTTTACAATGATACCGCACTTTTGTTTGTGTATTTGGCGATTTGGTAACCCAGTGAAGGATTTTGGTGTAATATGAATTTACCGCGCAAATTACCTAGCGTATTCATTTCTATGCTTACTTACCGACTATGTCTTTGGCATAAAGGGTGCAGAATTCTAGATTTTAACCTAAATTTTTTTTCCTAATTTTCTTTTACGCCAAATTTTATCGTTTTAACGCCAAATTATTATGTAGAATTTTGTTTTGCTTACTCATAAAAATGTATCATTTTAACAACGATAATTATCGCTATTACGATGAAATTGCGCTAAATTTGTCAACAGCATTAAAAAGAAAAATCATATAACTGCAGAAAAATTTAATGCATTTGAGAGACTTTTACGGCGTGAACTAACGTTCTTAAAAGAAAAGTAAAATTTTTTCGCTTTAATTAAATAACTGTTTTCACAATATCGTAACTATGTCAACAGCATTAAAATGAAAATAGTGATTTGATATTAAGATGAGGTTTTTATTAAAATAAAAAATCGTTTTTGTTGTTTGTTTCGTATTTTCATGAGTGGTAACTTCATAAAAATTTATATTCTGTATTAGTGGCTGAAATACATTATAAGAATAATCTCATAATAAATAATTTATCGGAATAATTATTTAAAAGAATATATATTTCTGTTTTTATTTACTATAAATAAAACTTTTGCAAATAACTATCAAAGTAGCAATAAAGCAGTAATTATATTGTTCGAAAAACGAAGAAATTACGAATTCCTCTAATTTCAGCATTGTATCCCTAAAGAAATTGACGAAATTTTCCGTGTTGCAAGATCGGCGACTTTCTCAGGGATACAGTATTGTAAATTTCAACGGAAATATTAAATAGTATTTTGAAAATGTTAGTAACGTAAACCCGTTCTTGAATTATTATGATTCAATTGAAATTAGTTAAAATTTATTTATTCTTATAGCAATAATTATGTAGTTCGTGCGGAATTGTATATAAATCAGATAACAGAGTTATATTTTATCAGAATCAAAATTATTTTTCTTGTCTTTCATTATGGCATCGTATCAGAACAAAATTAACTGTTTAAGTCGAACCTCGATAAGTCGAAAACCTCCATAACTAGAAAAAAAAAATTTGTTCCCTTCCCTTCAAGCCCCAAAACCTCCATGACTCGAAATTTCAACCCTCTATAATTCGAAATTAGTCAATCCCCACAAGCCATGTTGGTATATATTTTTTCTACGTAACTCGAAAAAAAAAAAAAAGAAATTTGGAACTCTGTATCTCGAACATTATCACTGCTTGATTTTATAATCTTTTTACAACCTTTACAACTCGATCATTTGAAACTAATTACCTCTATAGCTCGAAGAAAAGTAAGATACCGACTTTAAGTATTTGCCTACAATGCACGTCATTGTTTCTTAGGAAACAATGTATGAGTATACAGTAAATAGAATAACCAATCCTATGATTCTAGCAACTCGGAAGAAAAATAATTTTCTGCTCTTTACAGCTTAGATAATGCTATTGATAAGAGAACGATCGAATTGTCTAAAGCAAAAAAAAAAAATAATAATAATAATAATAATAACTGACTTTTTTAATACATATTATTTTTAATTTTAAGGTCGTTTCGGAATTATTTTGATATTTTATTGTAGTACATAGTATAACTTTTAAGTTGCAAATAAACATGTTTATTACCTCTGTAACTTGAATTTTTATTTATTTTACCTCTCTAACTCAAAATAAGTTAGAAAGAATCTAAACAAGTGGAATAGAAAGTAAATAAAAAAACCTTATCTACAAGTCGAATATTTCCATACAAAATCCGCGTAAGTCGAATTCCTCCATAGGTCGACAACTCTATAACTCGAATTATTTGGCGTCTCCCTTGAAGTTCGACTTACAGAGGTTCTACTGTATATATATATATATATCTATATATATATACAATTGTCTAAAGTTCTGGTACAGATCAGAAAGAGTATACGTTTTATGGAAATACCAGACATAGAAAGCGTTTTCCCAGTGTATAGTTCGCTCTTCTTTCATAGAATTTACGATTTATTTATGAATTTGTTCTGTTCAAACTAACTGTTCACTACATTGTTGACACTGTTTTATATTTATTATGTATATATATATTTATTATATATATATATATTTATTGTGTATATATATATACATATATATATATACTAGAAGACCCGGCTACGCGTTGCTGTGGCTTTCTTGTATTTCGTTAAATTATTAGATACTATAATTGGTATTGTTATCGTTTGCTGTCGTGGTTTGATTTGTTGACATAAGGGCCCTCTCAGCACGTCTACGTCGTACCTCACGCCTACGGGTATTGTTGAGGTTAGATTTTTTTGGTGGCATTTTACTGAAAATGATAATTGAAAAATACAATACAATTAAAATAAAATCGAGATATAATAATAAATGACTTAAAAAAAAATTCACAAAAAAATGTAAACGATTGTTTAAGGTACACGAACACGTTCGAATGAATTTTTTTGAAATTTTTTATCTTTGTACACATTTTTGGATTGAATGTATCTAAAAACTAATGATTTCACATAAAAAAATTTCATTATTATTATTATTTTTTTATTTTTATAAGCTAAAATAAGGGTAAAAATGACCAAAACTTGATACTGTTACAAAACATGATAACTCAAAATCAAATCAATATTTTTTAAATTTCTAAGTTTGTATTTGTTTGTACTAACATATTACAGGGCATGGATCTCTGGTAAATTTATATCTTTATTATTTTGTGCTAGTTTAAATGCTGTCGACACAAAATTCTTTCAAAATTTGCATGTAATTCCAAGTTTAACAATTAAAATAAAAAATATTTATGTAGCTATTATCATTTCAGAGTTTTATTACCTGTAAACATTTATGAAAAACATAAATACAAAGTTTTGTAACATTTGGATCAAAATTACTTGTGTTATGGTGCTTCACATGAAAACAAAAAGCATAAAAATTCATTCTGAGAAAAAGCTAAAAACAACTTTTAATTGGAGATATTACTTTTAAAAATGTTGTAAATATATTAAAATGCCATTGAATTATCAAGTTCATAGTCTTATTTATTAAAAAATATAGTTTTATTTTTCCTTAAAGCTCTAAATATTTTCTGAGCTTTGTTTTGAAAAAGTTAAATTTTGCTCGACAAAATTTTTTTTTTACAACTTCCTCCTTCTTGCAAAGGCTTTTTAATAATAAATGACCTGGATTTAAAATATTTAGTCCTTTTTCAAGTGTTTTGGTTAAATACATTCAAAACCTCTGAATTTAACATAAAAATATCAACTTTAACTATTTTTTATACAATTTATTCTTTAAAATATGGATAAACATTGCAAAAATGTGATATTGTTGCAAAACTTGATAATTCAAAAATAAATAAAATATGAATAGTTTTTTCCTTTGCAAATATTTTTATGCTGGGAATATCCTTATGTAGGTAATATACTGTTTTCAAATTTATATCTTAATTATTTATACATTTTTGTATGCTTAAAGCTTGTCGACACAAACTTTTTTTTACATATTTACAAAAATTCTTAGTTTAAAAACTGAAATAAAAATAATTTATGAATTTAGGTTAATTTCCATGTTCTATTCCTTTCATACATTTAGAGAAAACTTTTACATGAAGTTTCAAAGCATTTAAATAAAAATATATGGATATTATGATGTTTTGAAGGAACACAAAATGCATAAAAATTCAAATAAGAAATAATTAAAACCAACTTCTAAATGTAAATAAAAACAAATGTACATACATAAAAATGTTATTGAGCTTTAAATTCTCCTTTATTAATATAAAAACTTATTTATTTGTTTTGCTTT